GAGTGAGGAGATGACAGGGGCAGTGAGGGTGTGAGGGGATAACAGGGGGCAAAGAGAGGGAAGGAGGGTTGACAGGGGGCTGAGTGAGGGAATTACAGGGGGCAGAGTGATGGAGTGACAGGGGCCTGAGTGAGGGGGCTGAGTGGGGGATAACAGGGGGCTGAGTGAAAGTGTCACATGGGGCTGAGGAGGGGTGACGGGGCAAAGTGAGGCAAGGAGAGGGTTGGCAGGGGCTGTGTGAGGGGGTGACAGGGGCTGAGTGAGGGGGGTGACAGGGGCTGAGTGAGGGAAGAAGGGGTGATAGGGGCCGAGTGAGGGGTGACTGGGGGCAAAGTGAGGGAAGGAGGGAATGACAGGGGGCTGAGTGAAGAGGTGACAGGGGGCTTACTGAAGGGGTGACAGGGGGCAGAGTGAGGAAAGAGGGGTGACAGGGGGAAAAGTAAGGGAAGGAGGGGGTGATGGGGGCTGAATGGTTGGTGACAGGGGGCAGAGTGAGGAGTTGACAGGGGGCAAAGGCAAGGAGAGGTATTATAAATACCTTTATTTCCCTGGTGGTCCAGTGTCCTGGCACCCTGGTGGTCCTGTGGGCTGTCATTCTCCCTGGTGGTCCGGTGGCCTTCCTATCCAGTCTGCCCAGAGAGCCGGCGCCTCCAGTCTGCAGCTCCGCCGAGTGTGAGCTGCAGACTGAGATGGGAGTCTGGCGATCTCCTAAAGTCAGAATGTTGCCGTGGTAACCTGCGACAATGCTCTGATTGGCTGGGGATCGCGAGACACTTCAGTCTCCAGCTCACACCTGGCGGAACTGCAGACTGGAGGCGCCGGCTCTCTGGACAGACTGAAGAGGCCCACACCTGGCGGCATAGGGCCGATGTCGGGTCCTCGGTCATAGACCGATTAGAGAGCCGCCTCTGCACTCCACATGTTCTGAACTACACCTTATGATGCTTTTCCAGCATTATAAATAGATATATAGTATAGTTAAAAATATATACCAATGGGGGCGCCAGCATTATGACTGGAAGATGATTACATGGGGAAAGTAAATTCCAGGGATATAGTCTAGTAACGTTTGGCACTCCAGATGTTGTGGACTACATCTCCCCTGATGCTTTGCCAGCATTAAGATTGTGAAGTGAAAGCATTATGGACATATAGTCCACATCTGGAGTGCCAAAAGGGGCCTACTCCTGGGACTCTTGTACCTCACTTTCTTGAGAAACTTCACTAGTCACTACTACTGGTGACTTAGAGATTTTTTTCCAATTTAGCTTTTTTTTTGCAGTTTGATTTTCAACTCCTCCAATCTGATGTTTTCCAATTTGACAATTTTTATTTTGTCATAAGTCAAGCAGTGGGGTACAGAAAGGAAAGGGGTAAGGGGGTGCAAGTGACATAATATATTCAGTAATAGTAACACACTTGACTTGTTCAGTACACTAGATGCAATACGTTGAAGGGACAGTAATCATAACTTTTTTGACAACAATAACATACTGCGAGATTAGCGTTATACGTCCATTAGAGGGGCATAGTATCGACAGATGGCATACCTTCGCATGTGCGTATTCTATCGACAATAGTTTCGCGTATGCTTTTTTTTTCTTGTTTCAGTGGTTCAATTTTGTCTTGCAAATCGGTTGTTGGGTACAGAAAGGAAAAAAGTGTGGGGGGTCAAACGATTAGTACATACAGTAACCAATGCAGTCATTTAGTTTAATGCCATCTTCATTGAGTGGGTCATCTTGTGCCTCTTTTGCATTAACTGTTGTGTACGCCACACTGGCCCTAAGGGTCTTACTTGCATTATGTGTGGTCCTTTTGCAAGGAGTCTGGTGACTGCATGCGATGCCTTGATGGCACAACTATATACAGTGTGGGTATTCACTCTCCCCCACTGCCTCCCGTGTGGGAATGTTAGCCTGTGTGTGTATGAAAGTTGATGAGTACGACCACCTCCTTTTGGGCCTCTGTGAATCTTAATTTCCCTGTGAGTCGTGATCTCACCCCTGCTCCTTCCCCAACCCCTCAGTAATGAGTGATTCCCACCACTCTTTGGCTGTTGTTCTGTATTTCGTTGCCCTGAGCTCTGTGTGGATTCTCAACTCATAGTCAAGGTTCATGGTGATTTGTTGTATCACCAACGCCCTTTCTGGAGCCGTCGCCTGTTTCCAGGCCCTTGCTATTTGTAGGTTAGCGGCAATTAGAATATGGAATATTAAGAATGCCTGGGGTTTAGTGTATTGATCAAGTGTCATAAATAGTAGCCCGCACTCGGGTTGCAGCTTTATTGCGAGATGTAAGGTTCCAGAGATTATTGTTTCCACCACCCCCCAGTATTTTGTGATGAGTGGGCAGGTCCACCATATGTGGTACATCGTGCCCTCCCCTTTTCCACATCTCCAACAGTGTTTTGAGGTCTGGGGGTAAATGATCGCTAGCCTAGTCGGCACCATGTACCATCTGTATTGGATCTTTCGCATCAACTCCAAATGTGATCCGCATCTAGATCTACCTTTATGTGCTATGAATGCTTTTTGCCATTGTTCTCTTAGAAATGTTTTGCCTATGTCTGCCTGCCATGCCTCTCTGAACTGAGCTGACACATTAGTAACTGAGTAATTTGTTAACGTGTATATACTTGATATTGTTTTTTTTTTGGTATGTGCATGGATTCGCATATGTGTTCTATCTTCTCCATTGTCTTGGGTGTGACTCGCTCTGTTTCGTTCTCTAGGAGTGATTTAATCTGTAAGTATGAAAATAAAGTGTGGGGTGGTAGGTTGCATCGTTTTTGGAGGTCTGGGAATTGCATCAGTGTATTGTGTTGGTAGAGATGTCTGATCAGTGTGCATCCACCTTGTACCCATGGCCGGTAGTTTAAGGTGGGGTTGACAATATGCAGACTATAGTGGAGCTGCCAATGACCATTGTTTAGTGTAGCCCATGTGTGGTCTAGCTGCTTGCCATGTTCTCAGCAGTAGTGACGTGGTGTTGAGCATGTCTGGTGTTTTGGGGTGCCATTTATGGGGTATCCAAAACAGGTATCGAAGGCCTTTTGGGACACGACCATGCCGATTCCATGTCTACCCATTGTGGCCTATCTTCTGCCTTATGGGACAGAAGGGCCGATTTGTAGTATAAGCTTACATCAGGTAATCCCCAGCCGCCATCTGCTACGGTTCTACATAATACCTTTTTTGCTATTTTACAATTCGCCCAGACAAATCTAGTCAGGGTCTGCTGGAATTTTTGTAAGAATGCTTTGAACAGGTGGCTTTGTAATGTGCATATCAGGTAGTGCAATTTCGGTAGCACAAGCATTTTAATGGATGCTGTTCTTCCCACCCAAGACAAGTATTTGCCCTCCCATGTTTATAAGATGTCAGAGATCTCCTTCATCAGTGTGACATAGTTATACTGAGACCAGCTGTATTTTTCAGTATCGGCAAGCCTAAGGAGGTGAGATAGTCGTCTCTTCAGTCTAGGGGGAATGTAGCTCTCAAGTGGGCTATAGTGTAGTTGTGCACCCCCAACCCCATTGCCCGTGTTTTAGTTATGTTCAATTTATAGTATGTCCCCATAGGAGCAAATTTCGCTCAGGAGGTATGGCAGTGACACTTGAAGCTGCGTGAATGTTAGTAGAACGTCGTCCACAAACAGATTAGCTGTTCTTTCTGATTTTTATCGCCAGGGGTTCTTATGCAAGGACGTATAATAGGGGGGAGAAGGGGCAGCCCTTTCTTGTGCCATTTGTGAGCTGGAAGGGGTCTGACAGGAACCCAGAGTTCAGCACCTGTGCAGACAGTGAGCTGTATAAGGCCTTTATCACTGCCACTACTTTGTCTGGGATTCCAAACCTTTTTTTACTAATAGTCCCCCCCCCCCGGGGGCTGCGTTTGAAGCCTATGGAAGAGATTTATGTCCTTCCTCGTGGTATCCGATCCCTGTCTTCCCCGGACAAAGCCAACTTGATCATTGTACACTACATGCGGCAGTATGGACCCCAATTGTATGGCATATAACTTGGCAAACAGTTTTGCATCTGTATTTAGGAGCGATATAGGACGAAAGTTTTGCGGGGACTTTGGAGGTTTGTTTGCTTTTGGAAGTGTTACAATGTGGGCTAGTAGTGTTTCTTTGGGTAGAGTTTTAGTGACAATCACTTTGTTGAAAGTTTTAACCAGGTAGGGTGCTAGGGTCTCACTGAATTTTTTAAAGTATGAGTTGTTCAGCCCGTCCGGGCCTGGGGATTTCCCTACCAGTAGGGATTTGATTGTGGCTATCAGTTCCCAGACCTCTATTGGTTTAGTGAGTGTTTCTTGCTGTTGTTGTGTAGGTTTTGGTAGTCAGACCCCGTCAAGGTAGTCCTCTATGCCCCTGTCTGTAGGCTGTCTGGTGAGACTGTCATCCCATAAGTTGTAGAGGCCATAGTAATATTTAGCAAATATGTCACTGATTTCTTTTGGGGTCATGACCTTAGTCACTTTGTTATCGATCAGGTAGGATATTTTTTGATTCGCTTGTTTAGATTTTAGGCGGCGTGCCAAAAGCTTGCTCGCTTTATTGCCTTGTAGGTAGTGGGACAGTTTTAGTTTTGTCATATGCCTACTGACCTGGTCTGTGGCTTGTTGGTGTATGAGTCGGGTTATTTGGAATATACGCCACTTTTCCGCCACAGTCGGTGTAAGCTGATTTTGTATACTCTGGTCGTATAACTCCTGTTGCCACTCCCTAAGTTTAGTTTGTGTGATCTTTTTAATATATGCTGCCCTCCGTATCAATAGTCCCAGTATTACTGTCTTGTGGGCCATCCATACCGTGCTGATGTTACTTACCCTGTGTCACTGAGTGTGAAGTAGGAGCTTAAATCCTCTTCAAGTTCTTTTGTGAAGCCCCCATCGTTTAACAGGGTGTCGTTTATTTTCTTAAAATCATATAAGTTATTTAACTCCAGCAGCACTGTGGCATGGTTTGACCACGTAATTAGTTTTGTTGCACAATACCATTTGGTTCAGGTTGGAACCTGATATGAGCAGGCAATCTATCCTAGAGTAGGAGTTATGGACCAGGGAGAAGTGCGTGTATGCTTTGTCCCCGGGGTGTGTGATTCTCCATGTGTCATAGAAGTGATATGTATGGAGGAGTTTTTGTATGACCTTGCATTATCTTTGTAAGGTGCGGTGTCGTCGACTTTGTTTGGACAGAGTAGTGTCCAAAATCCCCGCAGAGCACCATAATGCCCCTTTGTGTACCCGCTAGTTTTTGTAATATTTTATGTAAGAAGTTGCGTTGTTTGGTATTTGGTGAGTAGATGATCGCTACTGTATACAGCATGTCATTTATTGTGCCCGTCACAATGACATATCTGCTATTAGTATCTGTGTCTTGGGAGTGCAGGGTAAACTTGGCGTCTCTGCTTAGAAGGATAGACACCCCTCTAGATTTGGTACTGGATGTGGAGTGGAATTGGTAAGGGAATTCTGTAGTAAGTATCTTAGGGAAGTCATTATTTCTGAAGTTAGTCTCTTGTAAGCACAGTATGTCAGTCTGTAGTATTTGCAGGTCACGAGTGAGAAGGTGTCGTTTCGTTGGGACATTGTGTCCCCTCACATTAAAGGTGCATATTCTCACGGTGGTTGCCGTGTGCGGATTGGGGTATGTCGTGTTAAGTAAGATATGAGTGTGAGGGCTACTGCTCTCCCCAGCTGCAACGAGCTGAGCAGTGAGTCCCTCAGTTCACATAGTGACGTTCCTCGGTGTAGGGAGGGAGGATATAGGTGAGTCCTTGCACTGTCAGAGTTTGAAGCATGAGCCAGAAGTAGTGCGGGGCCGTTCACTGGCCCCTTATAGTGATACTTTGTAGTATGTTGGAGTACATAATATGGAATGAAAAAGCTATAAATAACCATAAAGAAAGTATATACATAAACATGAGCAAAAAATGCCAGAAGGTTGGCTAGGCACTGCATCTTTGTGCCCTGGGGGTTGAAGCTTATGCTTCACGTCCTGTTGTAGCTCCCTCCCCTGAGTGCTTCATATGTAAGCTACTTGTTATACGTAAGCCCAGTACATTCGTGCGCTCGTCTGCAGTATTAAGGCCCCTTGGTAATGCTAGGTGGTCAACAAGCAGGTGCACCTTAGTGGGGACCTTAATTTGGTTTCGTGCTACCCCTGAGCGGTGTAGGTCTAGTGGTCTTGATGATCTTGGGCCTGACGTGCACTAACCTGGTGTCCACAGTTAAGGCTAAGTGAAACCTTGTGTTCACTAGGGCGTGTTGGAGTTTGTTTGGTGCTGCGTTTCATTTTTATTTTCGTTTTAATTTTTTTGCTTTATGTGTCTTAGTAGGGCGTAATGGTGCCCAGGGCCGAAGGTAAGGATCTCCCGTGGGCAGCGGTCCCCTCCTGGGCCACCCTGTATCCCCCCAGTAACTTTACGTGACCCATACCTGTGAGAGTTAGGAGGTGACAATTCGCCAATAATAAATTTGGGTAGGCTATGTACATTGGGTTGCTATGTGGGTTAGCAGGTGTCTAGTGCTGAATCCCTTATGTGATAACAGTACATGCCTGGGCCAACCCTAGTCCCTTTAGTTACGGTACACAACCCACACCTGTTATTACAACATTACCCATTCCGGTATTCCATTAATCATTCCTCGAGGCACTTGTGGTTAGGGGTCCTTTTTTGTGGATATTGTGCAGGTAGGAGTTCATTTATTGTTTCTTCGCTCTCTTCCATTCCAGGGAAAGTCTGGCTGTGTCTTTCTCAACGCTTGGGTGGGTCGATGGTGTGATGTCCCAGGATCGCAGTATCCGGTCCCCGTCCTCAGGTGTTGGTATGATCGTGGTCTTCCCTCCTCTGGTTACTAGGAGTTTGGTAGGTGGTGTTCCCGCAATGCAGTGGTGATGGCTCTGAAGTCTCGCCTCCTTTTAAATGTGTAGGCCGATATGTCAGCAAAGATAGTGGTTCCCTTATATTCAGCCGGTAGGCTTTTGCCTGTCCTGTTTGCTGAGATAATTGCTTCTTTGGCGTAAAAATAGTGCAGCTGGAGCATGACATCTTGTGGCATTTCTGGAGGTAAGAATTGGGGTAGTGCTGTGCGATGTATCCTGTTCAAGAGGAGCAAATCTTGGGGCATATCAGGAACTAAGAGCTGCAGTAGGCCTGTAACATGGGCCGTGAGATCATTGGTGCCCACACTCTCAGCTATGTCCCTGATTCGCAGGTTGATTCTGCGGGCTCGGTCCTCCATGTCTGCGAGTTTCAAGTCTTGGGCATTCATCCTGGAGGTCAGACCCCCCATTTTGCCCACCAGAGGATTGTGCGCTTCAGTGAGCTCCACCATTTTGTCCTCAACGTGTGAGGTTCGATTTCCCAGTTCAAGCAGATCCTTGCAGAGGTCTTTTAATGCAGTGTCCAGCTTGGTTAGTATTTTGTCGGACATCTCGTCCAGTAGGCTGTTCATTAGGCCGTGTGTTCGCGAGGGATCTGGCTCCGGTGGCTGTGTGGCCTGCTCGGGTTCACTCTCCACGCCATCTTGCGCCTGTTTCGGCGGCTGCCAGCTTTTGCCTTGTCTGGCACTAGAGACAAACACATTTGTCTTTTCAGACCTCTCTGTGGTTCTCTTCCCCTTGGGCTCTGACATGGTGGGATGTTGATGCCTTTTATTCAGGGATTAGTTGCTCAGTAGAAGCTATCACGAGCAGAACTATCAGCACATGCATCCGCTCCGATCAGAGTCCAGGACACGTCCCCACTCCAATCTGATGGTTAATGAATAAACTAAATGTTACTTTTCATTTTCTACAATCATTGGAGTAATAATTACTGTAGGCATCTTTACCACAATATGTTCCCCTTTATGTTAGCTTGCGCTCTGAAAATATTGATATTTTCTTCTCTGATAACTGTAAGGGACTGAGGATCCTTGCATGGCAGAAGCTAGCGATACTTCTGCTCACCTTGTAACTAAACATCTGGAGGTTGCTATGTTGTGATACAATATGTTCTGCAGATAGAGGGCAGTGCTGGAACGTAAGGCTGCACATTCAGTATGCTCTTCGTGGAATAGAATTTAGAAAAGACCAAACCCTGACTGTACTGTGCTTATTTACCAGAATCAGCGTGAGTTCTACTTTCAGTGCAAGTGATATGCGACTAATGCGAGCCTAGGTGTTGCAATTGTGTCTTTAGTATGCAGCAAAGTGCATAAGATGTGCCACTTTATAAGGTGCCTGTGTGCTGAGCCAGGAATTCAGTCACGCACACCACTCACATGTTACATGAACAAATTACAAAAGAACTCTGTTGTAATCAAAACAATCCTATTGCTTATGTTAATACACGACCTCTGTTGAAATATACTCAGTACATTTCAGTAAGGTTATCTACCATAAGCGCCTCAGATAACACTGCCAGGTTTCTTTACTAAATTCCGAATTTTCACAAATTAATTCTGAATGGCAAAACCGAGGTAAAAACAGATGCGCTGAAGAAATTCTCAAAATAAGCTATAGTCACAACTTGGCTGTTATTTCCTCGGATTTACTATTCATAATATTTAGAAATAATACACAAAAAGTTCAGAGTAACTTTGCATATATAATGGATGTCTTCCCGCTTTCTGAAATGTAATCTCTCTAAAACTGAACTTTTTGTCTTCCCTCCTACTAATACTGATCCTCCTCTGTCGCTCTCCCTTCAAGTTGATAATACCCGCATCAGCCCGTCTTTGCAAGTGCGCTGTTTAGGTGTTATATTTTATTGTGGCGTCACCTTTTGAGCCTCACATCCAGTCTGTTATAAAATCCTGTCGATTACACCTAACAAACATTGACAGCGCCCACCCGTTTCTTACCCAAGATGCTACTAAGGAGCTTGTCCATGCTCTAGTAATCTCTCACAAGGATTATTGTAACCCTCTCCTAATTGATCTTCCCAGAAGCCGTATTGTCCCGCTACAGTCTGTAATGAATGCTGCCACCAGACTGATTTTCCTCTCCTGTCACTCCTCATACACCATACCCCTCTATCAGTCCTTACATCAGCTTCCTGTCAGCTCGTTTGAGCAGGGTCCTCATCTACCTTTTGTTCCTGTAACATTTTTAAATCGTCTCATTTATTGTTAAATCTCCCCCTCTTATAATATTGTAAAGCACTATGGAATATGTTGGCACTATATAAATACCAATAATAATAATAAAGATTTTGAACGGTTCCGGAAAGTATCTCTTTATATATTAATGAGGAATGGCATCAACATGTGTAATGGGCAGGGAGTCATCCTTATATCATTTATTAGCATTTTCGGCAGTGCAATTACCAGTGCATGCCAGCTCTACTTACTATTTAGCCCCCTCATTGCAGACCTTACTCAACCTCTCGTGGTTCTGTATTGCCCAATAGTTCCCTGGTTATGAACTTTGGCATGTCTCTTATGGTTCTTAAAATCTGGCATCCTTTCACCTCGGCATTGTCTATTTAAAGATACTGTAAACTTAGAATTGATGATGGGTTGTGACATCAAATTTCTATCACTATGTCCCACATGACATGAGGGAGCCTTGATAGAGATACACTGGTGGTCCAGTGTATCATTTTCAGAGCCAGTTTACCAATTAGGCAACCAAGGTAGCCATCTAGGGCCTCGAGATCATCTGTGAGCTGGCCCTCCTCAAATCAGCAAAGAGAACAAAACACAGGCCTGCACACCCTCACTTTGTTGAGGGAGTGTTTATGTTTGTATCAATATCAGGTACAAGTTACTTTAAGAGCACCATCGCATCCGTCCATTCCCCTTGACTGATATTGGTACAAAGAATGGAGCTCAAAAACATTTTTTTTTAAAAGGGAGGGAACAAAAGAGCAAACACACCCAAAACCCCCAGGCGAAGGGACACGACACAGATCAAGGTGAAGGAAGCCAGGGCACCATCTAGACGCCGAGGAGGGCCAGGGAAGGGCCACACAAGTACACCAGGGACATACGAAGCCCACATCTAGGGGGATGGGAACCTGGAAAGACATACATAGAGACAGCTGTCACACACAACGCATAGTTAGACGCGAGCAGGACCAGTACAATAGGGAGCCAGACAGGCACAATGTACGATGTTCATAGATACACGCGTGATTGTCGGCACACACTAGAAACCCAAACACACCAGCTCAAGCCGGCCTCCAGGCCGACCCGGAGCAATGCACCAGATAATAATCCAGGTTCTAGAGACTGAACAGACTGAACAGGGCAAGTAACTGACGACAACGCAGATATTGTATGCAACTTGGTGACATGGGGGCCCTCCCCCGACATCTCAAACCCCCACCGCCGCCCCATACCATGTGGCGACCGGTGACAAGCCCTGGGCTAGGGAATCACCCAAACCAAACGGAGGATCCCCGCAGGCCCGATACGTCTCACAAGGCACCCCATGCCAAAGCGTCCCCACCACATGTGACAGCTAGGCCCAGTTCAAGCACATGAGCAGATAACAGACAAAAGAGGCAGCCCAGACACGGAACCGCCACACCACGCACTCAGAGATCCATACTCACTACAAAATAAGGCATGGAGCAGGCGCTCCGAGTACATAGCCACTTAGGAGATAACAGACCAAGAACTGCGTATAGTACCGACAAATACATGTAGACGCACTAGACATCCCAAAGTGGACCGAGCCGCTGCAGACAGGAAGCCCGACACCTCCACAGACATAGGACATAGGAATCCCCACCTGTCAGGGGACACACAACTCCCAGAATAGACCCAGCCCCCGTACAGGCCGGGCAACACGGTCAAACAACCGGGACGATTGTCCATTACCCCTCAGAACTACAGAGGCCATATAGGCGACGTAAATAGACGCAGAACAAGTACCAACTCTGACCTTATACATTGCGGTACAACACCACACACTCACATACTCCCCAACCGTACCCCACAACAGACTCGTCCCTGTGGCCGTCCAGAGGATGCCAGACTCAGGACCTGGCCAATTTGCCATGGAAGACCTAACCATACTCTCATATAATGTACACAGTTTAAATGTCAGAGAGAGGCGCACAAGACTTTTGCGGGACCTGAAACACTACAGGGCATCAATAGCGTTTCTCCAAGAAACCCACTTTCAAGAAGGAAGAGCTCTGGCACTGAAGGACCGCAGTTTTAGAATGGGATACTTTAGCAAGAACCTGGACAGACGCACGCTGGGAGTAGGTATCCTATTCTCCAGCAGAACCCCATACACAGAACAAGTCACCGTCATATGCAAACAGGGCAGGTATATCTTCACCAAAGGCACGATCCTCGAACAAACCTACACGTTCGCCAACGTGTATGCCCCGAACGAAACAGTTCCACTTCCTTCGGAACACACTAAATACCCTGATGAAGTTCGCAGAAGGCACTCTGATCGTGGGGGGAGATCTGAACCTCGCTCTGCATCCAGATCAAGATTTTACATCTGCGCTCGGAACAAACCTGCTTAATAGACATGCGAACACACTCCGCCTACTACACTAACACCAATTGGCAGACTGCTGGCGAGCGCTAAACCCAACGACACAGGACTATACCTTCTACTCGCAGACCTACTCAACTTATACGAGGCTAGACTATTTCTTAATGTCGTACCAAAACCTGGCCCTACTCAAAGCAGCAGAAATCCTGCCAATGACGTGGTCAGACCATTGCCCGATCCGCATACTGATGAAATCACCATTGTTCAAGCCCAAACAGATGTCCCGGAGACTGAACGAATCAATCCTATCGGATGTGGTAGTGACGGACAAAATAGGTCAAATAATACGGGACTACTTCCAAGATAACGAAACAGAGGATGTGACACCAATGACCTGCTGGGAGGCACTCAAGATGGTAGTACGGGGCCAGATTATAGCAATATGCGCGACACGCAAAAAGGCGACAGTACAGGAAATAACCAAGCTCAGCGGAGAAATTGCGATCTTGGAAGCCAGACATAAACGAACCCTAGAGACGACGATATACAGAGAACTAACAGACAAGCGAAACCAACTAACCACGCACCTTAACAGAACGATCCAACGCTCATACCAACACTACAGATACATGATACACGAACACGGAGATAAATGTGGAAGACTGCTAGCCAACCTCCTGAAGCAACGTAGAACACAACTGTATATGCCGAAAATAAAAAACGCACAGCAACAAATCAGACACCTCCCTGACCAAATAGCAACGGAGTTCCAACGGTACTACCAGGACCTCTACCACCTTCGCAAGGAAACACAGGACGACCAGAGACTCCAAAAATGCACAAGTACTTGGACTCGGCAAACCTACCAGAAATAACGGAAGCAGACAGAGAAGCACTGGAAGCGCCTATAACACCCGAAGAATTGGCATACGCCATCAGGAAAGCTAAAACGGGCAAGGCACCAGGACCAGACAGACTGCCCCTCCAATACTACAAGGTCTTCACGCAAGAGGTTCAACCGAAACTACTTAAAGCCCTGAATTCCGTCCAGGACGGAGCTGCACCGACGGCCCAGTTCACCTCGGCGAACATTACCCTGCTCCCAAAGGAGGGCAAAGACCCGACATTGTGCCCAAACTACCGCCCAATTTCAGTGCTTAATACGGACATCAAACTCCTGGTGAGCATTCTGTCAACGCGACTAGCGCCACTACTGCCGGACTCAATCCACCCGGACCAGACAGGGTTTATCCCGGACAGGGAGGTGAGGGACAACACCATCAGAGCCCTGAACATCATCGCACACGCTAGAGCACACAAGACACGGACCCTCCTTCTGTTGACAGACGCGGAAAAGGCGTTTGACAGTGTGGACTGGGACATGATGTTTCCGACCCTCCAGACCTTTGGGATGGGACCTACCTACCTTACATGGATACAGGCTCTTTACACCTGCCCAACGGCACGAATCCGGATAAACGGAGCACTGACGAACCCGTTCCGGGCATACAATGGAACCAGACAGGGTTGCCCACTCTCGCCCCTGATCTTCGCTCTGATGCTGGAGCCGTTTCTGCAGAGGATCAGGTAGAACATAAACATACAGGGCCTCACAATTGGAACGACACAACACAAAACTCTAGCATATGCGGACGATATGCTGTTTGTGGTCACACATCCAGAGACCACCTTGCCGGCGATACAGGCAGAGTTTGAAGAATATGGTCTGATCTCCAACCTTCAAATAAATTACACTAAGTCGGAGATCCTCAACCTCACCATCAACCACGCCCATAAACAAACACTCCAAAGACAACACCCATACTGCTGGTGTTACCAAAGCATGCGGTACCTAGGGCAGGGCCGGCGCTACCTGTTAGGCGGACTAGGCAGCCGCCTAAGGTGCCCTTTGGGAAGGGGCACCGCCAGGAGCGCCGGCCCCGCTCATGCTGCAGCCGCCCGAGCGCTCTGTAGAGAGCCTCAGGCGGCTGCAGCTTTGCCCGGGCGGTGCGTCCATGAGGGCGGACCGCACCGCCCGGGCGCAACCTGAGGAGAGGGGCTGACAGGAGGGAAGCGCTCAGTGCTCCCTCCTGTCACTCCCTCCCTGTAGCGTGGCCGAGCCCAGTATCATGATGGTCCGACGGGTACAGGGAGCAGCTGTTTCCTGTACCCGGCCGGACTAACAGGAAGTGCACACTCAGTGCACACCCGCGGACCATCATGCTGCAGGGCTCGGCCACGCTACAAGAAAGGTTAGGGGGAGGAGAAAGAAATTGGGAGGGGAGGGGGTAAGAAAAATTGTGGAGGGGGGGGAGAAGAAATTGTGAGGGGAGGGGGAGAAGAAATTGAGGGAGGGGGGTGCAAGAAGAAACTGAGAGGGAGGGTAAGAAGAAATTGTGAGGGGAGAAGAAACTGTGAGGGGGAGAGAAGAAACTTGGGAGGGGAGAAGAAATTGGGAGGGAGGGGAGAAAGAAACTGGCAGAGAAGAAGAAATTGGGAGGGGAGGGGGAGAAGAAATTGGTATGGGGAGGGGGGAGAAGAAATTGGTAGGGGGGAGAAGAAGAAATTGACAGGGGGAGAAGAAGAAATTGGTGGGGGGGGGAGAAATTGACGGGGTGAGAGTGACAGGGGAGGGAGGGGCAATGAGAGTGGGAAGGGGGAGGGGAGAAGAGAGTGACAAGGGAGAGGGGGGAGAAGAGAGTGACAAGGGAGGGGGGAGAGAGTGACATCCATCACACACACATGCAATGCACCCCTTGCACACAGAAAAACACACAATACACAAGCAATCCCTTACACACACAGAAACACACAATGCATTCCTTACACACACTCAATGCACCCCTTACACACGCACACACTGCATCCTGTACATACACAGAAACACACCTTGCAGCCCTTACACATACAAACACAGATTCACACAATGCATTCCTTACACACATATCAGGACATCCCCTACACACTCCACCCCCTGTGAACAAACTCATTGGTGGAACATGAAGGTGGACCCTGGGACCCAGACCTTGAGCTGTGTAAAGGGCCCCCCAAAAATGGAGCTGCTTCCCGTTCTCCCAGAACATTGATTTTTGTGACCACAGTTACAAACAGCCTCCAGAGAGCCTGTTCTACACCAGACCAGTGGAGCCAGACTGCAGCTAGAGCCCATCATCATCCTCATCTGGTTGTAAGTAGGCAATCTAGTATATTATTCGTGGCACTAATCTCTAATTTACCTCACATTAAAGAAACACTATAGTCCCCAGAACCACTGCAGCTTAATGTAGTTGTTCTGGTGTCTATAGCCTGTCCCTGCATGCCTTATAATGTAAACACGGCGGCACTGCAGCACTGGCGTTAGTTAACATGGCAGATCATATGGGTGGAGCATTGTGATGTCACATGGGGGGGGGCGGCAAACTTTACTTTTGCCTAGGGCGGCAAAAATCCTTGCACCGGCCCTGACCTAGGGGTATGGCTCACACCCAACCCGGCAGACCTCTACACCCACAACTACCTCCCTATACTAAAAAAAGCAATGGAGGAACTAAATAACGTCGTGGCTAGGCAGAATAAATGCTGTTAAGATGACACTACTACCAAAACTTCTCTTTGTGTTCCAAACTGTGCCAATACTAGCTCCACAAACCTTCAAGACACTACGGGCAGAGATCCACACGTTCATATGGAAGGGCAAATCCCCACACATAGCTCACGATCAATTAACCCTTCCTAAACTCCGAGGAGGCCTGGCGCTCCCCGCTGAAAAATACTACCAGGCAGCGCACCTCACCAGAGTCGCCAGCTGGTCGGTCGCCAGCAGAACGAAACCGTGGACCCAACTAGAATCAGACATCTCTAACTGCGACCATCGAACTCTACCATGGATACCCAGGGCCACATACAAGCATAAACACATCACCAACCCATTCGTGGCGGCGACCATGAAGATCTGGCACAGGCAAGGCTCAAAGCAGTACCTCACAATGGACCCAGGCCCGCTACTGCCGTTAAGAAGCAACCCAGACTTCCCAGCAGGAGACCACGGCCCCACGCCGGCACCGGCGGGACGCACAACAACTCTCCGCATGATGGATGTCCTCCAACAACCATTTGATGTCCGCCCCGTCACTGACCTCTTTCCAGACAGGACACTTACCTTTTCACACATACTGGTGAGAACACAAATAGCTGGATATACTTGATCCATCCCACAAAAAACATCACTGCTAAGAGAACCTACGCAATTCAAACTACTCTGTATGCAAGATTTCGCAGATATATGCAATGCTAGTCACGGGTAGGTACCTACTAGCACCCCCTTGCATGAGAAACTGGGAGGAAGACCTAGATGAACCCATGACAGAAGCGGACTGGAACAAAAGCATCACCCTGATACAAAAAACGCCTAGCTCAGCAAGGCTGCAAGAAAACTCGTACAAAGTATACACCAGATGGTACTGGACACCGACAGCGCTCCACGCCAGGAACTCGGAAATCCCAGACACGTGCTGGAGATGTGGAAATGAGAGAGGCACATTCATACACACCTAGTGGACATGCCCACGTCTCCGATCGTTCTGGAACACAATTAGAGTGGTAATACATGAAATAACAGACGAAATGCTTCCAAGATCCCCAGCAACATTCCTCCTTCATCACACAGATATGTCTATACTGACATACAGTAAATCTGTCATCCCGCGGCTCTTAAACGCGGCCAAAGCGACGGTCCCAATCTACTGGAAGCAGGCTACCACACCCTCAATCGCAAGATGGGTGGAAGAGGTAGAAGCAACCATGAAATTCGAAGACGTTAAGGCAACCACCCCGAACCTCAGAGATCGCTACACCAAACGCTGGTTTCACTGGATTAGACTAACCGCCTCTGACGCTTTTCAGAACCGCATGGCGACACAGTAGGCGGGGGAGGAGTGTATTAAACCAAAATAAATAAAGCACCAGCGTAAAGAGATGGAGAATGGCGGACTGGGATGGCAACAGGGGATGAAATCACCCACCATCACCCCCTCATAATACTCACATACGCACAGACAAGACACGACCCGCCCATAAGTATAGATATACCTCCAAAGGACTACAGAAGCCGAGACAACAAACAGGCTTGACCGGGACTTATACAAGGGAACACACACCACATACAAGCAGCCGCGCGCTGAGCACACAAGGAAAACACGTCAGACCGGAGGGCACGCTTCCACGGACACATCAAACACGCTGCGACTACAAACTGCAATACCTGAAATCAGACCCAATACAAACACACAGAAGGTTACAACATAGAGCCGACAACCACTGGAGCCAGACAGGAACCGAAAGGAGCTGCGAAACCACACAATCCACGCACCACACGCACACACAGTCCAAACACCGACCGCTATGATCCATCCCAAACCCCACAGGACAACACCACAGCCATGTACACAAGTGAATCCGCCTAAACATAACAACACCACGACCACATGGAAGGTACACACAGAAAACGATTCAGGAACACCGGAACATGAGCCACGAAGATGCAACACTAGAGGAAGTTACACAGAGCAAGCAAAGGGCAGGAACACGCAACCGCTCACCCATAGCCCTAACCAACACGAATAAGCATCACAGAGTATAAGAGTATAAAAAGCAAAGTACTCTGCTAAGTACCAAAAGGTTAAGTTAAACAGGCTATGACAAATTCACCTCAGCGAAAGCAACCAAAGGTGCAAAAATCTGACCCTTAGTTTATTCGAGAAGCACCATATAAAGTTATACATTATGCAGCATCATGTCTTATCTACGCTGTGCTCTGGTCTTATGCTTGCTGGTTCGTGAGGACTGAAGAGCCTCAGTAACATGTTTATGTTATAAT